TCCTTAGTCTATAGATAGCGATAATTCCTTTAAAAAAGGCCTAACATTAAAATTAACAAAATTGGTCGTAATTGTGTGGATTAAGCTGAGACAAAGACATATTTTCCTTAAACCAAAAGTACTACAGTCTCATTAGGGTCTTTGTATTATGGCTTAAGATATTTCAAGAAATATAAAAGTAAATAAATCAATATAGATTTCTTAAAATAATAATTGAGAACAATGCGCAATGAATTTATTTTAGTGAGGCTCTTTAAACTAATGACGATTGTATAAAATGAATGCCTACTTTAACAATGGCTTTTAACCAGCAATAAACATTTCATTTGAAATTTTAAAGCCTACATAAAACTCAGATAGTATTTGGTCAGTTAGATATCGTAAAAAAATGTCATAAGCACGGTTATATGGCAACACTAGAAGTTCTGTATTTGTAAAAACTTGCAACATAGAATACTTATAAAAAGTAGTATAATTTTCTTTTCAATAAGTCGACTAAGTAAGTAAATATTCTCATCGTAGTTTTTATTAAATTTAATATTTTGTCATCAGTAATACGAATAAATTTAGGTATAGTACGCCAAACTTCTTCCTACATCTAATAAATCGCCTCGTCTAATACAAATCCTCTTAAATTTCCAACGCCATCCAAGTTTAATGACACTGTACATTAAAACTTTCTGTTCGTCATGTCAAGAGCGTTATAAATTTAGATAGATTTCCCTGTTATTAATACTAATGAGTGAGTAACCCAGATTCTATTAGCGTCTTCGGTAACATCTGGCTATACTGAATACAGATAGCTTTCAGGGATATAGCTTTCAGCTTTAATATTTCTTGAACGACCGCAGCCAACGCGTAAAGATGATTTACGAGCTGGGTGTACATGTTCGCAAAAATATACACATATTTTGAATCTTTATTATTTTAAACACGAAATTTTTAATAAAATAAAACTGAATAATTTACGTTGTAACTTTAGGAATTAATTAGGATTATACAGTAATAAATATCTTTTAAAGCACAGCTACTTTTGGAACACGTCATTTTTTCACAATTTTTACGATATTTCCATTTTTCAACAAATTAATAAAATATTACACCATTTCAATCATTTTGTCCCTTTATTATTTTACTCCTATGTTCCATAGTTAATGACTTTGTAATTTTTTCTATAAGTGTTACGATAATGTCACACATATAGCCTATAAGAAATAACCACAAATAGGCGATCAATAGATTTTGTGAGAGAATGCACTAGGGCTACAAATTCAAAGTTCAAGTCTGGCTCTATACTTAAAGCGGCTTCGGATTGGACCACAATGATTGATACGTATGAGAAACAATATAAAATCACAGATGATATTTCTATATTCGTGAATTTTAAAGCGCGTAGTGATAATAGAGCTTACGATTTCTTGGAAAACCAACATCCCCAAAGACCATGCCATCAAGGACAATAAGTATTAGAGCTCACTGAAGAAGTCACTCGAAATAGGTTCGTCGTAAATTCGTAAGCGGTAGAAGTGCTACTGAGAGGTATAACAGCTAAATGTCTCTACCACCTACTAAAAGACTAGTACCTGTACGGAACTAACATCAATTCATTCTTGGAATATATTTCGACTTGGTTAAATAAAAAAAGGAGCTCATGGGATGGTAGTAAGCCTTTAACACTCGTTAGATAACCCCTTAAACCAAATATGGATCGCATGTCCCAGGCACTATTTAAGCTCGTCTCCCAGCAACAAGATTGAGCCAGCACCCACACCGTGAACCTATGGAATACTGAGAAGGTTTGTTTCTTATACTATCTAAAAATAACATTGTTGAGCATTAAACGTAACAATATTACTTAAGCAAAGTTTTTTCAACATTATCCGAGATGGACGAATAATTAGCTGTTATAGAGTTATTAGAGCAAATTTTAACATTTTTATAATGTTATTCTATTCAACCTAGAATGTTTTAAAATTAATTAAATAGATTAGTATATAAAAAATTCTTTTTCAACACGTATACTAATATTTTATAAAGAAAATAATAGAATTATAACTAAAATAAATAAAATATATGCAAACGTTTAAACAATCTGAATTATATGGTGAAATCTCAAAAATTTTCCTCTTACAGTTATCAATATAAGAACATAAATTATTTTTCAATGTGTTTGTAAGTTGATGATATAAATACTAAGGTCATATTACAGATTTTAAGGCAGATTTCACTGATAATTAATATATAAAACTGTTGAAGGCTCTCATATAATGTAAACTAGGCTTATCTTGATCCATCGACACTACAAGTTGCGGCTACCCTACAGTTTTATTATCTGGTAGGTATAAATGGCTTATCGTGACCTCAGCAGTACCGCCAACTGTGACATTATTTAATTTTTATTAAATCAGCGATGTCACCGAAAATTGTATGACTTAATAAAAATAAAGCTTTACAACAACATCCTTCTTAAAAGGTTCGATATACGTTCTTATATTTTCATCATATATTTTTTATAAACTACCAAAATTTCCACGTATCTCTCTAATTACAAATACTTTGTGTATTTTGATAAAATAATTAATAAGGATCGAGTCCTTGGAATTTTATTTTCCTATGGTGCATTCATTGTTTTCAACAATATTTCCTATTTATATCGTACGCTACTGCATATAAATCTTCCAGTGACAAACAAGTATAAGGAAAAATTCAAAACTCATGGTAAATTGCATAAAGGACGCATATAAGGTAGAAATGAAACAGATGTCAAACTTGCGGATGGCTGGCACAAGGCTGGTTGACTCATTTTACATAGAATTCAAACCTATCGATTGAACTATTTTCCTCTAGCTACTAGTTACTGTGACTAAACATTTGTTTATCTAACTTTTCATAGAAAAAGCTTCGTTTCTATTCTTGTATATTACGCGAACTTCATACTTTTTGATATCACAATAGCTTTAATTTTTGTTGATGATTAAGAAAGTATCCTCTTACTGTGATCTGTTTTAATTGTTATCACAGCTGGGTTTCGTGTGAGGAGAAAGTCCTAAGACCTAATTTCTCCACCACTATGTATCCAGTCCTATATAAATGTCCCACATTCATATAGTCACTTAGCACGAATATACCTTTAAATGTCAGTACTCCATAGTCAGCGATAGAATCTTATCATAAGATAGACCATACATTTGTTTATTAAACTTTAACATAAAAATTATGCTCACCCTACTTTTATAGCCTCTAAAAATATTCTTCAAGTATACGAGTGGCTTAAAGTTTTTTCGCTAATGCTATACGAATGACATATTAAATCACAGGAACTCAAGTATACTTTGAATGCACGTATATCTATAAAGTAGCACAATACATGATATAAAGTACTACAAACGGAATATTATTCCGTTTGTATAGAAATGTCGCAAAAAAACAAATATTTCGCAGACAGACAGTCACCTGTTAGTCATAAAATAAATCACTTCGTAACACAAAATCTGAGAAACATCATACATTTTCCAGTAACCATAGAAATGATACTATTGATAAGAGATATCTGTGTATAAATACAGATTAAGAAAACCGGACTTTATCATATGCTGTTATGGTTCATTTTTCTATACTTTCAAATCTATTGTATAATTAGATATAACATGACAGCACTGATAAAGAAGTTCCACATTTTTTTCCTTAATTTAAAAAGTCATTCGTTCCGGAAAGATCTAAGAAACGATTGATAAGACATTTTGTTATTTAAATATTTTAGACGTTTTTTAATTGAAGTTGATTTAAAGGAACCGATTTTACTTTAATTATAAGAAACAACAAGGTTGTGGATGACATTTTTAAGAGTGTTATAAATGTTTATACTAATTAAATAAACCGAATATGGCTCAGTGTCATTCCACGACAGCAAGCGTCCTATTACCATAAATACATTTACTTCTTAAAATCGTCAATCTTAGCGCATATAAAGTACTCATTTTGCAACCACATACACTGTCAGATACTAATATATTTGTTATATACCGTATTGCTTTATAATAAGAACTATTTTAGTTCAATATTTAATTTATAACCGAACAATTAACATAGATACAAGATCATGGCATTAATTTTCCAAATAAGGCTCGGATTTGTAGACAAGAATGATTATACCAATTACATTCCGAGAGCAATTTAACTCAAAATTCATTTATGCTATTACACGGTGTGCACTTGTTTTACCTTATAGGTACACTTAAAAATATGTTTCCCCTCAACAACTTTACACTTTCAACAAAATAATAACATAACTAATATACATGTAAAATACTTAAAAGAAAAAATTTAATTCCTTATTTGCTCTATAATTTCAATCAGTTTTAATTGGCTAAAAGATAAAATGAATGTAATTAAAAAAATTCATATATTTGTTAAAATATTATCGTCATATATGTTAGTATGGATTTATTTAAACTGCCGCATCCTTTATTTCCTTATTTCATGTCAATAGCTATCGGTGACGTGAAGAACGATTAAAGGACGTAGGTACCGAGTACTGACTAGTTATGATAAACACTGATAATCTCACTCCAAACCAACGCCTGTACACGCGCGTTTGTCTTGTTCGGAAAATATATATTTTTTTTATATTCTAATTTCGTTCTGATCAATCTATACGTTCCGCTCATTCGGTCATTCCGGTCTTTAACATCGAATGAATGTAAACACGATCTCAGAAATTTAAATACGTGCATTATTAATGCTGTGAATTCTTTGAACTAGTTCACAAAAGGGACAGTGGTATACCGTTAGATTTAGAGTTAATTTGTATTCACGAAATCGGAAACCAACAGGTTGAAGATAAAATTCTTCACCTGTACATTGTGTAACTCGTTAATGTTAACTTGGAACGCGTAGTTAATAGTGTTGTGATCGAGTTTCATAGTGAAGTGCTATGAATCAGTGTTTATGATGCGAGTGAGCTCGCCCATTCGATTTTTAGTGTTAGATGTGTTTTAGCGATGAGTGTGCCTAATTTGAGTGTCGATCAGAGAACAGGTGATTTGTTTTTTTTCCATTTGTTTAACTTTGTTTTTTCTAGTTTGTTTAACTTTGTTTTACTACTTTCTACCTTCTCTCGTCCCAATTGGAATGAGTATGTACTAATGAATGTTTTTGCTTAACAATTTCTATAAGCTTTAAGGAATTAGTTAGTTTATTTTTCTTCTACCTGGCAATTTTCCAGCTTTAGCCAGGGTCTGCCTTACATGTTGTGAATATTTTTGGCTAATTGCTTTTACGACCGGCCGTCAGCCTGACATCAACCCTCTTTGGGAATGCATTGATCAGTGATGTCTAAATACTCTTAGAAAGTACATATGACTCGTAAAAATCACATTTAAATTAATTTATTTATTTGTCTGTATGTTTGTAATTATTACTAGTTATGTTGTTTGATTGAACTTCGACCTTGACATTAATTCTAATTAAGGGCGTCCTTAAATATGAAATCTTGAATACTAATTACTAACATCGCTATCATATTTACTCAAACAGCTAATTTCTACTAATAGATCTTTTACTTAGTCTTGTGATTAAAGTACAATAAATAATATTATGTTTATTCATTCTATTCGAGTAATGTAATTTATCTTTTATAAATAAAACGAATTTTCTGAATACTGTTATTAGTTATAAATTGTTTTTATTTGTAGTTATTTGGCCATTGATTAAAGTTTAATAGAGAATACGTATTTAAATAAGAAATAAAATACATATTTTAATAAGAAATAAGCAGTATATATCAATTCTATTCGTATAGAGAAATAAAACGCATAAAATCGAATAATAAAATATTTTGCGTTTTCAGTCAAATTTAAAAAAGAGGAAGAAATTGTGACATTTCATTATTAGTAAGATGAAAAGTTGACATTTGTAAGTCTTTATGAACTTGCTAATAATATATTGTACATATTCATTTCTTTGGTTCTCTCTAAGCCTCTGACTAAACGAAGATCCCTTAATTTTAAAAATCGTCATATATTTTCTGTACAATATCTGTCAGTGGTTTTGCAGTACCTAAATAGTTACAGCACAGATTATTCAAAGATACAATCGTTCAACAATTTTCCGAATCGGAATATTATGTTTTATCAAGTACTTTCCTTGTATTACAAAAAAAAATATGCTCAAAACAATTTATTATCACAAATCAATTAGTACATTAAATATTTCATCACTTGAATTGAAAGTAAATGCATTATTTTTTATCAAGAATCTTGGTGGTCAATTCATCTCGTGTCAGCAAGTAAGCGGCCCTTAGGGTAACCATTAAAAATATTTTTGAAGACCGTATAACGTTTTATAATTATTGTTTTAAAATAGTTATGACTCAACTTCAAACTATTGCGATTTTACTAGAAAAAAAACAGTTGTTTAATATTTCAAAACTACGTAAATATCTTTGTCCTATATACACGCACGACATCGCCACCTTATTTATACGGTGTACAAAATTGAAAACTCATAAATTAACCCGCCAGCAAGCAGCGGTCATGTACTTGTGTAGCCCACTGTACTTGTTCCGGTGAAAAATAACCACACGCAATAGCACTTAAAATGGAACCTTCCTGACCTTAACATTACACAACAAATAATTGGATACGCCACTTGATTTAGCGTTAGGGTCATTTATACGAATTTTATACAAATAAATTAACATATTTTCTTTCTATTTGTCACAGGTTGATTGATGACGACGTTTTTATTTAAAGTTTATTACAAAACAAATTTATTATAAGCTAAATTACAATTCACGTGGACGTATTCATTTCAAATGTTGTAAATAATAAGTTGGATATGCCGTATCCAAATATTATTGGATGATAGTTCCTGCACATTATTTAGACATTAGTAGCCGTCGCGATAACAATGAAGCTGATTGTACCTATGACCTACATGAACCTGGCTAGCGGTAAACCTTTAATAAATCCCAACTTCGATCCCGACTCGTGACAAAATTGATTTCGTTCGTAGCTTAATACATTATGTTAAATATTTGATAAGAATCACGACGTTTATTTTTCTTAGAAATCAAATTGAAAGACGAAATACTCTCTTAAAACTTTATTTATATATAAGTATATTTAGTACTGGATTTCTTTGTAAATCAAACACGAATAGTATCTTTTTATTGACAATATTATGTCAGTGTATAAGAAGATTTCTTAATACAACATTTTTAAACGGTATTTAGTTTAAAAATATAAACTCAAATTAAGGAAACATATATTTATAATATGATATAAGTAATAAGGATATTATTTGATATAAAATTATCATTACATTCCATACGCAGAGCTAAAGGACGCAAATAGTGATAAGGGGAATAATATGAAATAAAATCCACATTAAACATGAATAGTGTACTATATAAAAAATATCAGAGAAGCTCAACGCATAATTAAATGTATATGATCACTGGTCCGTTTGTTCAACACGATTTCTATTCATATTTATTAATAGAAAGTTATTTTGTTCTATTGTTAGAACAAACCTTTTATGTGTTTTATTATTTGTGGAATATTAATTCGTGTTTGATGGGTTTGTGACATCTGACCTCGCAAATGTATGGAAATTTTATTCAAACTCCACATGTCAGACTTATTGGGTATATGAAATATATTTGAATGTAATAAATAACATTAATAATGATTTGATTTGAATTTATTTGAAAATTAGTTAAGGGATAAATTGCAATGTTATAAATATTATCAAAATAAATGAAATTACGAAGGTAACATATTGCAGGAAAAAAAATACGAAGCATTGTAAAACTTATTGAACTGTTGAGAATTATAAAGTTGTTTTTATTCCAATGTCTATTCGATCAATATCTTGTTTATTATAAATCTTACTACCGGAAAATTGAGGCCTGAGTAAGAATGAGTCATAGCAGTCTTCACGTGAAAACCTCAGAAAGACTATTCCTATAACTACAGTACGTATAAAGATACAAAATAATTATACAAGTGTTGGAGATAATGACTATTGGGTATAAATTTAATATTAATGACGTCACACAATTGCAATGACTTTTAAAATACATAATTCTAAATTTTTAACAGTTATTTAAAACCCCATAGCATATGTTGAAGGTTAACAATTTGAAACGAGGTCTTGATAATAGTTTGTTTGAAGGATTTTTGAATTCTAATATAATAACATTATTTCAGAAATCGAGGCTGCAGAGGCATGCACTTGGCTACGAGCTGCTGGCTTCCCTCAATATGCCCAAATGTACGAAGGTGAGTGACCTTTCGTTTGTTCTCATTGCTCTCAGACATCACTGTCAAATAATTTTTAATTTGCTCATTAAGAAACAAGCTTTCATATTAATAAATGTATAGTCTTTTTTACTGTAAGCATGTATATATTCTTGTATTTATTATACACTATTATATATTATATAACAACTGTTATATTATCATCATCACAATGAAGGTCAATCTAGGATCGTAATTTCGTATAAAAGATCATATGTTTGAAAAAAAATTAATCTATTATTTGATAAAAACCGTAAAGATTCTTAAAACTATTTATTGCTTACAACTTCGTAATAATTTGTTAACAAATCCTGAAATATACTTAATAGAAAAAGATATTTTTAAAACCACGTTTCACATTTCTTGAACTTTCACCTTGTAAATACTAAAAGAGTATTTTTAATACATTGAAATAACTACCACCGAAAATATTAGAAGAGAATTCTTAAAATAATCCAACGGTGAGCATAGTCATAATTATGTCTAATATTTTCGTGTGTATAAATGAAACTAAGTGTTTCGGATAACGACTCGTAAAATATTACATGAGAACAGCCGGGTTCAAGAACTAGTATCGTAATATCACAAAAACTACCACAAATACATTTAAATAGTATATTGAAAACGTTTTATTTATATATTTTTTATTAAATCAACAAAGCTCCATTAAAGTAGTTATTGTAGTCAAACTTATCTATTAATCATACTTATCTATTGAAGTGATGTCTAATATACAGGGTGTTTGCTTTATGGCTTTATATAAAAAAATATATATTGAACAGAACCTTGATTTATGAAGATATAATTTATTTTGGATATAATTTAAATATATTTAAATTAATTTAAATTTTGAATTATAGCATATGTTTTTGATGATATATTAATTATGAACATAGTCGGGACACGCTGATAGTACGTGATTACAAAGTTCGAAGCTCAGATGCAGCTAATACTAATAATTGATAGTTGATATTTCCTTGTTATAATTATATGGATATGCCTTGAATATATCAAATTTAAATTAAACTTATATTTTTAAGATATAACGAGACTTTATTTTTGTAAAAAACTACATACTCCCGACGTTTAGACTACTTTTCGGCAACCCTGATCACGGGCAGACGAAATGTTAATGTGACATACATATATCCGAAAAATATTAGTTTAATTTAAATTAATAAAACTCGCGAGAGCCTTAGATCTCATTAATATATCAAATTCTTCTTACTTGTCTTGTTAATTAAATATTCGAAATAAATTTAAATTAAAATTGATTTATATGTTATTAAATCCACGCATTTCCATTTTGAATATATTATTATCAAATGCAAAAACAAGTGAAGTACTATCTTTACTTCTTATACCGACGTAAGGAAACAAAGGGTATAACAGTTTTCCTAAATAAATCTTCACAAGTTATAGTGTCAAAATAGTATCTGGTACATGAATGAAAAATTACAATGTTGTATTCGGTTTAACGATAAAAACCCATAGTATTGATGGAACATAAGAATGTAAGAAAATTATTAAGTCAATGAAGGTATGAAATATTCATAATAAAAATATATTCTATTGAACTCATATCATATTTATTTAATCATAAATGTTGTTGACTTGTAATGGGGAAATAATATATAATATTGTTATTTACCTCCATAATATTATATTAATACATAATTATGTTATTTTAGTGTTCTGATACAACTGCTTTGGATATGGAGCTGAATCTACGTATTGAAAGAATACATAACAGAATATGATACAATATTCTATCATAAAAATAACTAAGCTATGTACCTATTACACAAATTTCCTGTTTAAACAATTGTACCATATATATATGCAGCTCGCGTATTCTTGTCATAAAAATTAAATATATTGAAGCTACGCCAACACAAGCAAAGCCAGGTTCAAAATCAAACTAGCTTTACAATAATCACCAGTTTTGCCCTTCGTATTATGTTTTTTTTTCTTCATTGCAGTTTTTTTTATGCGGAATATACATATAATGAATAAGCTCAGGTTTCTTCCACATCAGATGTGTATAAATAATAAAATAATAGAAATATTTTTTTAGTAAAACAAATTAAGTAAAATTTTCTTTGTATACTTTAGGTTACGAGCGTTGAAATTATCACCTTTTTCAATAATATCCAATGTCCTTAATTAATCAAAGTGACAAATGTGACCAAAAGATGGATAGTTCAGCAAGATATATGGTTTCTTCTGATGTACTGAGAAATCTATGAGGTTAATTAGGGACTCAAAATAAACTTGAACTCACTTCCTCTACAATCACTCATTGACGAAATCTGCCTAAATTTACGAGGTACATAATATTAGGCTTCTTTAGAAGAGTAATTTTTCCATTCTAGTCTCGCCACAAATAAGCTTAATCCGTTTAAAAAACTTATGAGTCATAATATTACTTTGGTATTATAAAAAAACTGTCTGATTCAAGAATTGTAGAGTATTATTTGCAAAGCTAAAATCACATTCAAAAACATATACAATTCATTACAACAATTTTGATATATCTTTCTAGGCAAAAGTGAAATTAAAATAAATATATCTTTTTTATCATCATGGAACATCAATATAATTCTGTCCTTACCAGATGACAATATAGACCAAATTATCCTTTAAGTCTACAAAGGATGCGACGTAAGCGGTCACCCTTTACCATTTGACACACGCATTCCTATCCAATACCAATTAATAGACATGATGGTTGAGGCATATACATTATTGTAACCAAGCGTGATTGAAATTGTATAAAGTAAAAACATTACGTCCCACAAATATACAAAAAAAAGCAATAAATTAGCAGTCTGATGCGAATGCATTGATCGATAATTGAAAAGTATTATAAAACATAAGGAAAACTGTAATAAAATTAATTTAATATTAAAATAAATATATTAATTTGATAAACAGCAGTGAATGCATAACCCTGGTATGTACTGTTGTGTTAATAAACACTGTTGACATTGTTTATTCAATATTTCGCGTATCATTGCTAATGTATCAATATAAAATGCTCATATATTTTTTTGTAAAGAATTTTCAAGGTAATATCAGTGACACGTAATATGATATCCAGAAACAAAGCGGGAAAAATATCAAGTACTGAAATGATTTCTAGAATGACCTTGGTTATACTCGAATTATTTGATTACGTATTATAAAATCAATGTCAAGCAAATAAAGCATATTTGAATACGATCAAAATAATGTCATATTTTGTAACCAACAGCCACTTGAAATTCGATATAGTAATCAAAGTAAAGATCGTTATCTTTATAGGAATGGCGCCAAAAGTACTTCTAATTAGTTACAATGAAATGACGCAACATCTTCTAGAGAAACTTAAAATCTTTAAGCCCCTGAATACTTTAGGAATTATGATTAAAAATGATAAGATAAGTTTCTATTATATGGGGCTGTCCTTTCTAGATATTACGAATCTTTATCTATATTTATATATTATTGAGAATTTCGTGAGAAAAAAAGATAAAACAAAATGGACAATGGTTCGAAAAGCAAACTTCCAACATTATATTTAACAGCTTCGTTCTTCGCTACTTTAAAAAAAAGATAAAAGACCCAAAAATTAGTTTCAAATGACACAATTTACAAGACACGGTCTTTGTGCAATCATCTCGACAAAAATTCTATTGTTCGGGTTTTGTAGAATACAATTGTAATATAAAAATGAATTAATCATATTTTTTCTTAGTTCTAAAAACAATTTATTTAATAATTATTATTTTTTGTATTCATTAGTACGACATAAGAAAAGTTCATTTAGCTAGTAATATTTAATCTAGCACAAAATTTGAGTTTACCGATGTCATAAAATAGACGAAGTATCATTAAACGTTCTTCTATAACCAAAACAAAATATAACCGATTAGTCTTATCATTCAGGTAAAAGATTCTTGTAAAAGACTACATTTATAACATCAATAAATCACTCTAATTTAGACTCTACCGCGTACGTCACTAAGTCTGAATGGCCTTGAGCTTTCTTTTTGCGTTTACGTGACAGTAGAAAAATATTGCATTCTAAGATGAAATACGATAATCAGCTTTAATGATAAGAGAATAAGGATTATGATTAAGTTATTCATAAGGGCATTTTAAAATATGAAGGCAGGGGGTCGGCATTTTTGACAGGAACGAAAACAGATATGTCAAATATTTTTTTTGTACCAGATTAGTAAGTCAGGTATCGCAGTCGTGTGTGAGGTTAGTTGTGGTACGGTGGTTTGTGATTAATAGTTAATTTGTGTAAACAGTAATTTGTTACGCGGTAAGTGATATATTTTTTTGTTTTTCGGTTAGGGCTACAACGATACGGTTTGTCAATAACACTTAAAATGCTGAATTTAACGGGACAGTGTGAAATATTACATGTTTAATATAATTTTTTTTTCTTTCAAATAGTTTCTAACAAGATGTTTCCGCTTTATTTTTCACTTATACATATTTATCGCTTTTAATTTTTTTCTGTTTGAGTAACAAATATGTATCTGTATGTAACCTTTTCATCATATTGAAATATCGGAATTGTCGAATTGTCATAACAAAAAACTCTTAAAATTATTTACTCATTGAGGACAATAATCATGAATATTTCGTCCTTTTTAAAGAAATTGCCTACGATTGTCTTTGATTTGTCGAATTTCACAACCGTCTTCATTATTGACTGACATTTCTTTATTTTATTCGTCTTATACAAATTTATATCTACACCAAGGACATCATAACTGTAATTTTTATCTATTAACTTCTAGATAGACTAATGTTTATCTATCTATCTATCTATCTATCTATCTATCTCGTATTTCTAATCTCATCTACTTTACCTAGTTTACCGCCCCTTACAAATTATATCAATCACAAAAAACCTAAGAAAAAAAACACAGGAAATTCTAAGATAAAATTTACTACGTATAAAGCAAGTGTGAAACAACTTA